CACCTGTAATCCTGGCACTCAAGATCATGAGACAGGAGGTTTACAGATTTGAGGCCAGCCTAAGTCTTATGAGATCCTGTCTCAAAATAGAACAATAACAAAAGACTTGTATTTGTGAAGTCTCCATTTAACTGAATAAAATGACTCAAGCAATGTAGATAGTCTACTTTGCTTTCAGTCAAGTAGGACTCAGCTCAGAGTGGTCTGAAGCTGGGAAAAGCAACTAGGGTTCCAACAACCAAGACTGGTATGTTCTAGGCTCTATGTTAGTGCCAGGAGTACAGTTAGTGGGGGCTCTTACCTACTTGTCCTTTGGGGGAAGCACACATTGAGCAACTCAGCCAAGGACTGGCCAAGTAAGGCTTTCCAGAGAAGTGAACCTGAAGGAGTTGAGGGTGCTTGGGCCTCAGGGAAGAATATAATGGGCTTTAGGAGTAGGAGATCCTCTTTTGGCAAGAGGTTATGGCTCAATAGTAGATTGCATGTCTAGCATGTAGAGAACCTGGGTTCCATCCCCAGCACTGGAGGGCAAAAAGGAGCAAAAGAGACTCTTTACAGAGTCTTGGAGGCTAGAAACTCTGAGTCAGTCCGTTATGCTAGAACACAGAGTAGAGATGTAATAAGATCTAAGATAAACTTCATATGCAGGTGTAGAAATCTGGAGAGCAGTAGGAAACCATTGAGGCATGTGAGCTGTGGTGTGAGGGGTTTGTGTATGACAGATTGTACATGAGATTGAGCTCAATGGCCTATGTGACCATTGGAGCCAAAAGGGCTCAGAGGTCGGGAGAACCACACACACACACAGACACACACAAACACACACACCCGCCCAAGTAGAGCAGCTAGGGTGGGTGTGTTATGGGGTATGTGCTTTGGGCTCTATCCCTCAACAAGGTTGGAGGATTGACCAGCTCTTGGTTTCCCTGTCCAGGCCTGAAGCATTGTTCCTGCATAGACCCCTGCCACCTTTAGAGCTCCCTGATTCTTGTTCCCTATGGCAGTGTTAGCCAACATTTGCTCCCTGGTTTGGTGAGTGTTTGCACATGCACACATCCTGACCATTCTGGTGGATCTGCAATCTACCCAGGGAATCTGGGGACCGTGAGACTACCAAGAAGGTAACCAGCTTGGACTCCTGGCCTGGATCTGCCACATTCTTTTCTGAGCCCTGTGTTCTCACCTGTAAATTGGGGCATTTGTGGCTAAATGTGTGAATACTAAATGGGCTTTTAGTCCTTTCCTTACCATTCCTCCTCTCTAATCGTGATGGTAGGGGATGAAGAAAGTTGTGTGCTCAGTGGAGGTACACAGTTTGAGCAGAGGCACATAGAATGGAGGTGAGGAAACCCAGATATGTGGAGTGCGGTGGCATACATAGGTAGGGAAAGCATTCTTGGCACCTGGCCTCTTGGAGTCCTGGAGGACAACACAGACAGTTCACCAGTTCATTCTCCTGAGCCGGGAGGATTTCTGGGTACCCATGAAGCTGGCCCTATTGTCTGGCTAGCTTCCATGGAGCCCTGGCTCCTGAGAGCTTGGGTATGCATGAGTAGTATGACATGGTGGGAACCAGGCTGATGGTAGAAAAGTTCTTCTTGGGGCCCACATAAGATCTCATAGGCCTTTGTATGTGGAAGCCCAAGACCATGGGCTCAGGGTGCTCACTCTTTCGGTTATACCCCTAATGTGCTTTTAGGCCCTTCTGACCATAGCAAGCTGCTACGCTTATCTGAGCACTGGTCTGTGGAGAAAGTAGGTTAGGAGTTAGAAGCATGGTGTTGGAAGGAGCTTGGTGGAAGATGGGTTGGGGAGAGTCCCAGCAGAGAGATGAATATTGCAGGAGAGACATCTGGCTGTAGGTCTAGTCTTTGTAGAAGTCTGATGCTCAGAAGGCATCACAGCTTTGTCCTAAAGCTAGGGGTCTAGGTTACTAATTAGATGTGTTCCTTATTGCTCCAATGAAAATCCAGGCTTTATGGCACAGAGTTTCTGATAAATGTGGAACAAGAAGTTGGGGAGTAGTTAGCATTGGGCCAGGGAGTCACCCTCTGGCTAGGATCACTATAGCCTGGATACAGGTTGTTCTCCATCTCCCAGAAACAGTGGTGCTGCCCTCACATGGCACTGTGTTCTCTTGCAATGAGAGCATCTATCTGTGCTTCAAAGACCATTGTAGATTTTCGAGTCAGGCCAGTCACCGGACTTAACATTGCTCCCTATCCCCAGCAGCTTCTGTATGGGTGCATGAGTGCTAAAGCAGCATAAGAGGGGCACCTGGGACAGAATCCATTTCTCTCCTTTAGTTACATGCTGATGCATTATTGTTGTGGTCATCCTCTCTTTCTGCTGGCCTCTCATAAGTAGCTGTCATGGTGTAGGAGGAACACTAGTGTTCCCTTCTTTGAGGTAGCCAGAGAAGCAAGGGGTTGGCTGGTGCTCCTATCCTGACTGTTCAGGCACAGCTAACCTTAACCCTGCCTCCCCAGCATCTCCAGCAGTCCTAGACCTTTGGTGGGGATCCCCCATCATGGATCTCCCTGTTTAGCCAGGCTGCTTCACAAAGTAAGCTTAAGAAGAGCAGAGGGCTGGGAGCCGGATGTGCATGCCTGTATTTAATCCCAGCTACTCAGGAGGCTAGGCAGAAGGATCCCAAGTTTAAGGCCAGCCTGGGCACTTTAGTAAGAGACTGTCTCAAAATAAAAAGGGCTGGGATGTAGCTCAGTGGTGAAGCACCCCTGGGTTCAGTCCCCAGCAGAGCAAAAAAGTGTGTTGGAGACCTGGGGCCCACATCAGGGCTGTTTGTGGCAGAGTATGTCCCAGAAGTATGTGGATCAAGCTTAGGCACAAACTCATTTTGGTGTTTCTTGCCATCTACCACTTACCTCTGGTGGTGCCCTGCTAGGATTTCAAGGAGACTTTGGTGGGGATCCAGACTGTGGGGTTTTAGCTGTGTGGGTCCCAGAGGAGGGACTTTATTTCATAAGGGTGCAGGTTTCCGGAGTCCTCCATGTCAAGCTTAATGGTTCATGTCTCATTTGGTCTGATCTCTCCCACCTGGACCTCTGAGCTCAGAGGTAAAGAGGCCTAGAAGAGCCAGGGACTCATATACACTAACTTATATCCTCATGTCTAGTCGTTGCCCAGTACTACTAACTCAAAGAACTCTAGCCTTAAAGGAGACAACTCGTCTAATTCCTAGACTTTCAAAAATGAATGAAGCCTTAAAGCCATTTCTCTCTTCTTTGCTCAGGTGGAAAAACTGAGGCCCAAAGAAGAATAGTGACTAGCCTGGGCTCTGGGGGATTGGGGAGGGGATGGCACCCAGGATAGGATCTTCTTGTTGCTAGGTCTTGCTTCCCTAATTCTAGAGCAGCCCAAAGTGGAGGCTGAGATTGTTGATGGGCCAGTCAGTGAGCTGGGGCCCTCTAGACTTCCCTTCTCTGAGGCCAGAGCAAAGGAGCAAGTATAGTTGCTCTGCCTGCCTTCCCACCTGCCCACCAATGTGGGCCTCAGTGCATTAGAATGTTATTTTCCAGCCAGAAGGTAGGAGAGACACCCATGCCAGCCTCAGGAGAAAAGACTCTGCCAAAGTTTTATAGTGGCTCCTTCCTGTCAGGCTTGGAGTCTCACCTAGGCTTAAACCTTTTCTCCCATTACTTTCAGAATGTTGACCTACCACCTTCTGACCCAGTTTTCCCCATCTATTTACAATAGGCCAGACAGTGGAGAGTGATGGTGGTGGTGGTATCTGAGGAATGGGGGGAGCTGTGAAGACCAGATGCAACTTTTGGATTTCCCACCTGCTTTCTTCCTCTTAGGATTCTTATGAAGTGATATCCACCCTGAATACTTTTCAGAATTGAATTACTACTTTGTACCCAGCAGTCTCTGAAAAAGGTGTCTTCAGGGCCTTCTGCCAGCCACCACCATCCCACCCCTTATCCTCCACTGCCAGTGCTACCCAGGCCCCTCTTCTGCCTCCTGTTCCTATCTGCCTAACTTGGCAACCTTCTCTCTCTGTGCCACATGAAGCCTCAGGGCTTCCTTGAGATTTCCCAGGCCACCTTCTTGGTCTAGCTTTATAAAGGACTCCTATCATTGCCCTTAGCACCTGTCCTCAGTTCCTCCATCACTCTCATTTTTTTTGCTGTTACTGGGATCAAACTCAGGACCTTGCACTTGCAAGGCAGTCGGCAGCGCCACTGAGCTAAATCCCGGCCCTATCACCCTCTTTTTTTGTCTGTACTTGCATGTCTTGCCTTTACTAAGTGGTATTTTCCTGTTCCTTGAAAGTAGCACCTGGTGCTGGCCTGGTACTTTGCTTTCAAAGTACCTCTAGTGTCTACTTGGTCAGCCTTCTGAAGCAAGCAGAAGCCACTGTGTGGCTAGGTGGTAGGAGCAGAGCCAAGCTCATGATTTTGGAGTGAACCTGGGCTCCTCGTACCCCTTGGCTCTGCTACTCAGCCTTTGTATTTCTGACTCTACATGAGAAAGTGGGGTGGCTCTGATTGTATTTCCCTTTAACCCCTCTATAGGCTGGAGAAGGGATCTTTCCTGTGTTCATATTTCAGCGATGGTTGAAGGCATCTGTTGGAGTATGGGTGCCCACGGTGGGGGGAGGGGCTCAGTCCTCTGGCAAATGGAGTAATTACCTCTAGAGAACCACTGGGCCCAAGTAGGGTGAGGTAGAACTGCCTTTTGCAGCTGAGAGCAAGCTGTGGGATCCACCCCCTGGGATAGCAGATTCTTGTTATTGGAAGTTTCCAAATAGGAATGTTCTCTTTTTTGCTTCTAGGCCTAAACTTGAGAAAGATGGTCTTTGGAAATCTGCCAGACCAATCTCTAGTTGAACCACAAGGAGACAGCCACAGAGCAGAGTGCTGGCTTGCAGGTCCAGCTGACTTCCACTTGGCTTGGCTAGAAAGAGAGTTGGTTTAAAGGGACCTGTGCCCTTACCAGAGGACTATTTGTGACCCAGATGTGTGTTTCCTTTGCAGGACGAGATTAGACGCACCCCGGTTGGAAACAAAGTCCCTGAGCAGCTCCATTTTGCCACCCAGCTATGCTTCAGATCGCCTGTCAGGAAACAACAGGGACCCTGCTCTGAAACCCAAGCGGTCCCACC